GCCACAAATATATATATATATATATATATATATATATATATATATATACAAACGTAGTCAATTACATAGAATTGGCAGATGTACCACAATGTATGAAGAAAGAGATGTGAAAACGGTTTAAATGTGAATCAACGAATAAGAGTCTCGTAACAGGTGCCCCATGGACGCCGGTTACCAGCCGTGTGTGCAAGTGTCTCAAGCCATAGTTGTTCTCTGTCCTTGGGACCCCAACCTGGGAGTCTAGAGAGTCCTACCACTACCAGTTTTGGAGGTTAGCGCCTTCATTGTTCAAGCCCAAGTTATTCTTTGTCCACCTTGTCGCTACCTCCAGTTAGTGTCTGCTTGCGCAAACATAGCACGATGAGGCAATCGTTGAGCCGGCATTCGCAACACATGCTCTAGTCATCGAAGTCTCTGGAATGAGATGACGGCACTCAGAGGACGACTGAGATTGTCTGCCGTGAAGATTATTCGGCGAACCTCGTCGTTGTTGATTCGCCGTTGACAACGTATTCTGGCGATGCAACGGAGGTAACAGTGATCAAAGACACTTAATCTCCGTACGATTTCTGCGTGAAGGGTCCGAATTTTAATCGTTTCATGCTCCCAGATCTTAATGACCAGGTTTTACAGCCGTGCATTAAAACTGGGTGGACTGCCGTGAAAAACATTCTGATTCCATTCCGGTACCAGATAATTCGTGACTGCCGAAAAGCCGTTCAGGCCGTTTCAATGCACCACTTTCATAATAGTGTATCTTGTTTGTCTCTGCAGACGAAAGGGATTTTATCCTCAAGATTTCTACAAACCATGTGTGCAATGGAATACCCGAGAGCGCCTTGAAAGAGTTGTCCCAGTTGTGTTGGGTGTCATTCATTATCAGTACTTGTTTGCTGGACCAAATCATCATGATACAGACGATCTCAGACTGGATATCAATACAGAATACATTCGTCCATTACTCATGTGAGCAAACTGACCGGTTCTTCTAAACTTGGTGACGTCAAATCCTCCTATCTGGGCTGTCCCGGATTATACATTTCAGTCAATTAATAAAATCAGAGTTCTTCTTCGTTACCGCAGTACCCTTTCAATGTGCTCCGTTTAACATTCAAACGCGTGGTCCGCGGTTTGGTACCCTTATAGAAACCGAATCAGCATTGATTGATGAGTAGATTTTATCTACCGAATGTGGCAAACACCCATCCCTGTTTCATTCGTGTCATACGCTGTTTACATCGGACGATACAACCTGCTACAAATTTAGTATCGCATGTTCATACGATCAGTAGCATGTGTGTGTGACCTTTTTCAGCACCGTCATGTGCTTCATCGCACAGATCCGCTCCCGCCCAATCAACCTGTGTTTGGACCATGTGCAGTGGTGATAAAATTGTCGATTAAATTTAGTCTGTACACACATGTTTACCAAATGTTCCCCGTATCTCGTAGTCACAAACATTCGGACATTCGATCAGACCGCGTGTATGATTCTGGTTCATTCCCCGGGGGCTGTCAGACGTGCACGACTAAGCGACCTATGGGTTTGTGTTTATCCTTGCTCTCATGTGCATCCGCCATTTGTTTGGTCTGAAGAATACGGCTGGCAGGTACCTCATTCTAGAGTTTACCGTATGACCGTTTAATCATAAGTAAACATGACAACCACGACATGTTACGAAATGACGAGGTCAGGTAGATCAATACACGCATATTTAGAGTATCAAGCTTGGATTAGCCTATTCAATTGTTCAGACGCACCAGGTACTCTTGATGTTCTTGGTCTTCGTCGATCATCACAAGCATTTCCATTGCATTAGAATGCATTTACCTCGTGGAGAATGAACGATCGCCCAAGGACAGAAACCCACCCAAGACCATCAAGAGTGCCTGGTGCCTCGGAACAATCGAATGGGCTAATCCAAGTTTGATACTCTACATTGATTGATTGAGCCGTTCGCACAAGGTGATGACCGTCGACCGTGTAGCCCATGAGCAAAGAGTTGAAGTCCCAACCCGAATATTTGCAATTCGAGTCCTGATGTGGACACAAAATGTACGCACTACTGACGAGTCCCCAGTAAGACGAAACAGCTGTCCGGTGCTCTTTGTTGGTCATCACAAACATTTTTAATACACGCATAGTTAAAGTTTGACGGTGGTTGAATATGTAGGTCGATGTTCTCATTTGGACACTGACAACGATCAATCAGTCTTTTCCTTCTTTTTCTTTTCACTTTACTTCCTTTTATTGAATATATATATATATATATAAAGATACAATTTTCAGGAAGGAGGAAGTGGCCAATCAAAGGGCTGCCATTCAACACACATTTGGGGAAGTCAACCAGTGGTGGTAGGGCGTTCGAACACATCCCCGGGGTGATAATTTGGTTACATTACCACCGGACCACTACCACTCGTTTTGATTAAGCATAAGAGGTTTCATGGTTAAAAGCAATGTTATCGATGGTTGGGTACGTAAAAATCAGTTTGTTGAGCTCATATTGAACGATGGAAAGATTGAATGGTTGGGGGAATACAAGAGGATAATTGGTGCTCGACAGTTTTGCAATTCACGGGAGGACTGGGGAACTAGCTGCTTGTGTACCCGATCGGTGAATGAAATTGGTTAGAAGGTAAACTGCCAGGGAAAACTCTGAAGAACAAAAATCGATATTGTAACGGTAGAGAATGGATAAAAAAGCAACAACCGGACGATAGGCTATGGTGGCTATAGACTAGGGGCTAGGGAATTCATTTCATTTCGTATAACCATGCACTTTCGTGCGCTGCAAGACTGGGTTTAGCTGAGTTTCTGTTCTGAAACTAGACGGTCAGCAATTAGCTAAAATTGACTGCTTCTCGTACTTGGGTAGCTGCGTGACTATCGACGGTAGCGCATCAAAGGAGATAAGTTTTCCAAAGTTCGGGCAGATTATGCAGG